TTTTTTTTTTTATTAGCTCCTTGACTGTCGGATTTTTTATGCTCACTAGAGCTGTTGTTTTGGCCCTTTACCGAGGTTTTTGCTGGAAAAAGTGGGCTCTCCCTTATTAGAAATCTGCTAATTTGCTAAGGCCCTGAACCCTCGCTGTCTTTTCTTCCTCTTTTTCAGGGTAGGGTGTTGCTCTTGCTGCAACCTCGGCTTTCAGGGTAGGGTGTTGCTCTTGCTGCAACCTCGGCTCATAGCCAACCTAGGTCTGAAATCCCTTGCTCCTAGTCACCTTTCTTTGTACGTGCTGTCTTGCTGAAGTTCGGGTTTTGGAACCTGAGACTGTGGTGGCCTTGGCTTCAGTTCTTGCTACACGGAGCTACTTTGGGTGATACCCTTAATTTACTAGCCCGTGACATGGGTTTGGTGCACTTCTTGTAGTCCGTATCCTTCCCTAGATAAGTGGGCCTACTGCTCCTCCTATTCTTCTTCTTTCGTGACCCTGTCCGTAATGTAAAATGTCATGGTCTTCTGATGCCTTCACTCCTGTGGTGACTTCATGTTCCGCTCTCCTTACACTTGTGGATCTGCTGTGTTAGTGCTAGATGAGATAAGGTCTATGTCCATGGGTGCTGTTAACTGGATTACTTGGAGCTCGGTACTCTGCTGTCCCTTTCTCCCATAGTGTGAACAGTAGACTCTGTCCCTTAATGGTAGCTATCTTTCCTTTTGCTAGGTAATTTTCTTCAAATTTATGTATAATTTCCTTTGCCTTTTCTTCCTCCCTTCTCATTTTCCTCTTCACTCTGCGCCGACCCAGTATTCCGTTTCCACTTGCTGTTGGACTAGGCTCCAAGCCTCTTGTCTGTGCACTGCTTGTTTATCTAATGTTTCTTGACATCTCTCTCTCCAGATTGTCCATAAAGCAGCCTTTCTGAGTATCTGAAAGGTATTATAATCCAATGGGGACCACTCTTCAGGGATATGGAACCCTAGTAGCAAGAGGATAGGGTTGGCTTCCAGCTGCACACTAGAGAGTGTCTCCCATATCGTGTATATTTTCTTCCACAGGGGCCTTATCCTGGGACACTGGATGAAACAGTGAAAAGGTCTTCTATTTGTCCCTCTGAGCAAGTAGCGCATAGTTCTTTAAGAGGATTTCTGTTTTCCTTTCTCCGCCGTTTGTTTAGCCACTGGTTCAATGGGACTGCTAAATAAAGGATCAGCCATTGTAGGCTTATAAATTTTGGGGGGTGGACTGTTGCTAGTTGGTTCCAAGGAATGTTGGTAAGGTTTCTGGATCCACTTCTAAGTGCCTCCACCAGCGTTCTGCTATTACAGGTTCTGGGGCAGCTGATCTGTGTCTTAGTTTGTAACTAGGAAGATTTCCATGCCCGGCTCGCCACGCCCGGCCGGGCACCCGGGCGTGACGCCCGGGCAGGTCCGACGCCCGGGTGAACCGGGTGTGAGAAAAAACACAGTAATTTTTTTTATTTTATTTTTTGGACTTGGGGACTGTTCTGCGCCCACCTAGAGGGGCCCAAATCCGGGGTGTTTCATATTTTTTGCTCTTATCAATTTCTGAGGGGGGGGGAGGGGGGGGTAAATTCTGTTCTGCTGCTTCTGCGCACACAGCACACAGCACACAGCACACAGCTCACACGGCACACTGCGCACAGCACACTGAGCACACACAACACACTGCATACACAGCACACTGCATACACAGCACACTGCACACAGCACACACAGCACACTGCACACACAGCACACTACACACTCAGCACACTGCGCACAGCACACAGCACACAGCACACAGCACACAGCACACTGCACACTCCGCACAGCACACACAACACACACATCACACACATCACACACAGCACACATAGCACACACACTTACACAGTATGTCCAGCATTCTTGTTACACACAGCAGACATCACACGCATCGAACAACAGCACACTGGACACATGTAGAGTCATGCAGACTCTTTCCAAAGTTTGTGAAACAACTGTCATAGAAAACACACCTAACATTTGCTCTCTCTCTCTCTCTCTCTCTCTCTCTCTCTCTCTCTCTCTCTCTCTCTCTCTCTCTCTCTCTCTCTCTCTCTCTCTCTCTCAACCATCTGGGCTGATCTAGGCCCAATCGTAATCTGATTCACGGCCACCGTCGCTGCTGCTGCCCCCCTCCGACGTCGGGTCGTCATCAATGATCTGTCTCTTCTTCTTCACCCGCCTTTTTGTTTGTTCCCGCCAGGTAGGCGGATCAGCCGATGGGCTGGCCATCGCAGGTCGTTCCTTACGAGGCCTACCCCGACCCCTCTTTGGTTTTGATGCTGCTTCGGTTTGGTTCCACCACCTTCCTCTTCCTTCCCATAGTGCTCATTTCCAAGTTATCGTGCTGCACACTCGCAACCAAAGGCGGAAACTCCAGTTCGGAGGGAAGAACGGGAGGTGGGACAGAAGCGGCAGATTGTTGTCTTCTTTTGTAAACTTGTGCCACTTCCGATCTTTTAGCAGGGGCTTCTCCTTCTCCAAGTTCTTCTTCGCCAAGAGGATCGGCGAGCAGATTCTTCGCTTGCTGATGCGTGGGGCCGGAGTCATCTCCCGTCTTCTCTGCACTTGCTGTTGCTCCCACCGCTGTTGTTATTTCTTCCATACTTGGTGCTGCATGGAGCGCTCCCGTTGCTTCCCCAACCGCTGTCGATGGCCCGCTTGCAGTCAATGTTGGAACAGCATCGACTCCCTCCTCCTCTTTCCACGTTGCGACGAGGAATTACCACACGCCTCGCTGCGTCCTCCTCAACGCACTGCATGACGATGGCATGATCTCTCTTTGCGAGAGCTTGTGCATGAGCTCTCGCAGCCTCGTCGTCGGTCTGCATGGCATTGTGGCTGTCACGTACGAGGCAGCAAAAACTCAAGGTCACTATCCATCTGACCTGCATCCTGCCTCAATGTCATGTCATCTTCACTGGGGTCATCATCAGAGTCCTCATCCGAGTCCGAGGGTGCGAGCAGCGCAAACGCCGCCGTGCCAATTTCTTCTACTTCATCCTCCTCGTGAGAATCGCCGTCGTCATCGACTTCTTCCACCTCCGCTTTCCCTTCTTGATGGCATGCACCATCCAAACATTCCACATCCTTCCTTTTCTTTCCTTTCCCCCTCCAAACCAGATCCTCCCCGTCGTCGCTGTTGTCGGTGTCGCTGGACTCATCCACCTTCCCCACCTTAGGAACCCGTGCAGACGACGTCTTCCTCAAACGAAGTCGCCGTGCCACCTCCTCAGCGGACATCTCCCCATCGTCGGCGACAATGTCTGGATCTACGAGAGGCGGCGGTGCATCTGCATCGAAGATGTTTGCCCACATGTCGATGAAACCTGCTTGTTTCTTCTTCTTGATCTTCAGCAGTTGCAGGCTTCAGTGAACATAAACCAATTTGTTTATTGTTTCACTGGACAGCTGGTTCCTTCTCTTCTCGTGCACCAGGTCCAATGTAGACCAGTTGCGTTCGCAAGGCGTGGCAGTGCTCCACATCACCGTCACACGCACGGCGATGTGCTGCAACTTGTCGTGGCTCTTTCCATGGCAGCTCCACCAATCTAATGCTGTATGATTCTCCAGATCGCTGTCAAACTTCGCGAAGTCGGTCCATAAACTATCATAGTCCTTGAGAGGCCGACTGGAATTGCCCTCTGGCTCTTTGTGGAAAGTCTTCAATGACTTCCACAAGTGCAGATGCTCCTTGCACCCCCATGTCGCCCCCTCGCTGCACTGAGACAGCAAGAACTTCATTGCATTTTGCACCAGGGGGCTCTTGGGGTCATGCATCCAGCGAGGGTCCCTTTTGGCCGGATTGAGGAGGAAGTTCAGTGCGTGCACAGGCTGGCGCATCATCTTGCAGCGCCGCCTCACCTTCTTTGCGATCGCTTTTTGCCGCTCTGCCGAGATGCTTGCAATGGTTCTCATCTTCTTAACCAACGCCTCTTCGAAACCCCACAACTGATAAGGAGCGGTGCCGCTCTTGTCCATCTGACGCAGCAGATCGTACACAGGTGTCATCACATCCACGGCTGCCTCTACCTCCTCCCACCACTCGTCAGACCGGACTGTCCGATACACTGTTTCAGCTCTCTCACGCTTCTTCCTTGCAGCCCATTTGATGTTAAGCCACCCTTCCTTCATCATCGCCTTCAACACCTTTCTGCGGTCGAGCAGCCTCTCCAACATCATGTAGACGGAAGCAAAGTGAACTTCCATCGGCATGGTAAGCGTCCTGCTGCGCTCCATCTCTGAACAGTCGAACAATTGCGCTGTCTTGTGGTGGTTTTCGATACACTTGACGATTGTCTTGCCTCTCTTGTGCAGTTCTTGCACCCACGGCTCTTCACATATCCCCTTCAGGAGCAGGTTCAAACAATGAGCAGCACACGACACCCAGGGAATCCGTGAAATATTATTGTCTGTTCTCCTCCTCAAAGTTATAGCCGCATGCTTGTTCACCTCTGCGTTGTCCGTACACAAAGCGTTGACTCTCTGCACCCCAATCTCTCTAATCACCCCTTCCCACAACTTCGCCAACGAAACCGCATTCTTCTTCCTCTTCGACATGTCAACCACCTTCAACATCACTGCCCCACTCTCCCCAGCTGCAATGAAGTTCATGACGGGCCGGAACTTCCGATCTGTGCTCCCGTCTATGATCAAAGTGCAGCCGTTGATGTCCCAACACTCCATCAGGGGCTTCATTGCCTCCTGCGTCCGTTCGTATGCAATGTCAAGCACGACCGTGGCCATCTGCATACGGTTCGGCATCTTCACACGCTGCCTCTTCTCCCCCAACTCCAAGTAAAGCTCATGAAGTTCATAAGTTTTCTCCCCTATCACATAGTTGAAGGGAGCACCGTGCTCGTACAAGTGCATCCCCCATGCAATGTCCAAGCGCTGCTGTGAGGAGTTCTCTGTCCACCGCCGAATAGATGCCTGTTTGAACACGCCGGTCCCTCGACCTGTCACTGAGCCATCACCGGACGGGACTGCGGGCGTTTCACCACCCTCACGCATCGTGCCTTGGTTGTCCGTAACCCCACCGGTCCAGTCCCCGCCCCCACTGACTTCCTCTCTCCCCGGTGCTGTTGGAGGCTGCATGAACTCCCCCAATGTGTCTGGCTTTGCAGCCCGTGCGGTGTCCGTCTTGGGGGTTTGATCAACGCCCACCGTGATGTTGTTTTCAAGGCGGTACAGCTGGATCATTCTGTTGGTAAGGGGGCAGTCTATCTTTGCCCCCTTGCTGGCTATGGTGTGCAGGATCTCTCCCGTTCGACCAGGACATGGGTCCCTCTTCGCCGTGAAATGTCCGAGAACACGCGTGTAAGACGCGGACCAAACCCTGCCACACAGCTTGCATTTGTGCCTTTAGGATGCACTTGTACGAGCAGCACCCACTTGTATGCGTCTTTCGTTCTCTCTAACTCCATCTGGTTGGACTCAGATGCAGGCTCAAACGGAGGCTTGTCGACGACCTTTCGTTTGCCCTTGCTGGAGCCTTTGCCCTTGCCGCCCGCGCCTCCATCGCTGCCTGGTGCACCAATGCTGCCAGGAGGACGACTTGAGGAAGCCATGCCGTACAAAGAGGAGGTGTGAAGAAGAAGAAGAAGAAGAAGAAGAAGAAGAAGAAGAAGAAGAAGAGGAGGAGGAGGAGGAGGAGGAGGAGGAGGAGGCGGAGGAGGCACAGGATGGCGAGGAGGAAGCGCGCGGAAGGTGAAGGAGAAACAAAAAATTCTAGTGGTGGTGGACAAGGAGTAAAGGAGGAGGAGGAGGAGGAGGAGGAGGAGGTGGAGGTGGAGGTGCAGGATGGCGAGAAGGAAGAGGACGTGAAAGGAGAAGAAGAAGAAGAAGAAGAAGAAGAAGAAGAAGAAGAAAAAGAAAAAGAAGAAGTAGAGGAGGAGGAGGAGGAGGAGGGGGAGGAGGAGGAGGAGGGGAAGGAGGACAAGGTGCAGGATGGCGAGGAGGAAGTGGAAGGAAGATCAAGGAGGAGGAGGGGCAAGATGGCGAGGAGGAAGTGGAAAAAGACAGTCGGAGAAAAAAAAAAAAAAGCCGCTGGTGATGGATGGATGGATGTGTGTGTGTGTGTGTTTTGCCGCGTCGCGACCTTCTCTGCGTGTCGCGATGGCGCGACCTTTCA